GTGTACCCTATATGAACTACCCCACTACAGCCTAAACAGACTATAGCATATAAGTTTGACACGACATTTCAGCCTGCAGCAGCGGCACCAGCTACAGTGAATCTCGAAGCTGCTCGTCACAGGCTTCCGGAGGCGTTCGATCCGAGCGCGAAGGGAACGGACGTCACGAGATTCATCGATACACTCAAAATCTATTTCGAGGCCGTTGGATGCACGACCCCGACACACGACGCGATGCGGATTTGACTCGCAGCGATACTGTTACGAGGCCCGGCACTGGAGTGGATCTATAGTAGTGAAATCTGAGGCGAAGGGTCGTGGGCGCGATTTCGGGAAGCCCTAATATATCGTTTTGAACCAATTAATTCATCCTACATGTCGCAGCAGCAAATTCACCGACACCGGCAATTTGTGAAGGTGGCGCAATACAGACAGCAAATAGAGTCCCTTTTTAAGAGAATTGAGGAATTAACTGAGGGCGAGAAAATGTGTACAACCGGCCTGACATATGAAGTCCGCCGACAGGTCACAGCGGCGAACTACAACAACTAAAGGGACATGATGTGAGCCGCCGCGAGGTTCGACATGTTGACCAAGGGTCAACACGAAACACGACGCAACATGCCGAACATGAATTTCGATGCGGAGCGATCGGCACCCCCCACGACTGCCGACCTGATGGAGATCGACAAAGTCGACGCCAAGCAGCGGTCGGCGAAATCGGAAACATGCGAATTTTGCGGCACAGCATGACATCGAATATTGTGGTGCTGAAAAATGAAAAAAGCATGTGTGGAGTTGCACGGCAGGAACAATGTAGCACCCCCAAAGTAAAAAACCAGTTGTCGCGGATCGTCCTGGCGATCGGGAAAAGATCTGGAAAAAAGAAAAGGGCGACGGCGTGGCGACTTCGGAGCGGGTGAAAAAAGGAGGATATGAAAGCGCGAATTTAAAACATCATGACCAGCTGGCACCAGGGGAAATTGCCAAGACAAAAGGAGACTCCGCAAAAAAAGGCTCTGCACCAAAAGGCCCTAAACTCCAGTCGAACAACCCCGAGAGTAAGAATTTGTTAAAGTTATCCTATCAAGATACTTTAACTAAGAATATTAGTTTTTGTGGTTTTCAAGGCTTGAAATATTAAGGGAGAGTTAAAGGCTAAGAGAAAGCCTTTCGAGATAGTACCAGTGCCAGAAAAGTTGGGGAACCAACTCCGGAGCGTTGAAAAGGGTCGAGCGCTCCGAAGAGCTAATATTCTCTCCCAATATTATAGTGTGAAGGCTCTCTGTTTCCCACAGGCGAAGCCGACACAACTGCAAAGGCTTAGGAGAAGGTTCCAGGCCCAGGAGAAGTTGTATCGGCCTCAAAAAAATCCTTCTACCCCCCCAGGTGAAGTTGAAAGTAGAAAGTGCAGCTTCAGGTGTAGGGAATAGGAATTATTACTTTGATGTACCCTATGACCCTATAAATGAGACTATCTTTGGCTAATCGGAGCGGCGCAACCACTGCTCCTCGATGTGCTTTGCAAAGGGCGACGCCTCCAGGCGATGGTGGATAGCAGAGCATCCCACTCTTTGTGCGATCGCAGGACGTTGGAGAAAATTAAGAAGTCCTCCGAGGAGACCCAGTTTACATCAACGATGGTGGACGGCAGCAAACTTCCCATCCACGGCGAGCCAATGCTGAGGTGGAAGCCGACATTGCCGGTCACGAACATCAAAGGTTTAGATTTCATATTGGGGCGTGATTTCTTGAAGCGGTTCAACCCCGAGATCGATTCAGCCAACCGGAAAGCCTGCATTTACAACAACGGGGAAACATGTGGAGCTGCGAAGCTGGACGGATACAGGGGATATTCTGGAGGCAAAAATAGCACACTTCGAGCGAACGGTGAACGAGAGTAATATGGGTTACCTGGTGCTAATAATGGCAACAGCAGAGGAGGAGAAGCCAAACTCAGAGCTACTTGCAGCAGTACGGACGGTGTTGGAGGAATCCAAGGACATCATGCCAGACGATCTTCCTGCAGGAGTGCCTCCAGCACAAACCCATGAACACGAGATTGTGGAAGAGCCAGATGCAAAACCAGTCTCACGTGCACCATACCGCCTAAGCCCAACCAAGCTAGCAGACGTGAAAATACAGATAGAGCACCTGCTGGACCGGAAACTGATCCGACCATCCACATCACCCTACGGCGCACCGGTTCTCTTCACTCCAAAGCCAGACGATATTTTACGGATGTGCATCGACTACCGGGCACCGAACAAACAGATAGTCAAGAACAAATACCCCATACCGTGCATAAACGATCTTCTAGACCAACTGCGTGGTGGAACAATATTTTCAAAGCTGGACCTATGATCGGGTTCCTGGCAGATTAAGATGGCAGATAATTCGATCCACAAGGCGTTTTGTACGAGATACGGCTCCTACAAATATTTAGTGATGTCGTTCGGACTTTGTAATGCACCAGCAACATTTGAGGCGAAGATGAATCATATACTGCTAGACGAGTGCGTAGTAGTGTACCTGGACGACATTCTCATCTACTATAAAAATATGAAGGAGCAAATGGAGCATCTGCGGAAAGTCTTCGAGATCCTGCGGGACAACCAGTTCTACGTGAAGCTGTCAAAAAGCAACTTCGCCCTGGAGAGGGTGCGGTTTTTCGGGCACATGGTGAGTGCGAAGGGTTTAGGGTTTAGTCGTTAGGGTTTAGGGAGATCCTAAACCCTAAACCCACGGAGGATCAAAGCTGTCAAGAAGTGGAAGGTTCCTGAGAACGTCAAGGAGTTGCAGCAGTTCCTTGGGTTTGCCAACTACTACAACAGGTTCGTGTCACATTACGCTAAGATAGCAGCACCACTGACGAACTTACAGAAAAATGATACGCCCTATATATGGGATACTCCTCAGCAGCAAGCCATGGAACAGCTACAGATAGCACTGACCACTGCCCGAGTACTCATAGTACCGGATCTAGAGAAGGATTACGTGGTGGAAGCAGACACTATTGACCAAGCAGTCGGAGCAGTACTGATGCAGGATCACGGACGCGGTTTGCAACCCATTGCATACCTCAGTAAGAAGCTACACGGAGCAGAAGTGAATTACCCAAACCATGACAAGGAAGCCTTAGCAATAGTCACGGCCTTCAAGGCGTGGAGGTGTTACCTAGAGGGAGCCAAGGCCACAGTATACACTGACCACTGCAGTCTCAGCGGTTCGATTCTCTCCATCCGTCAATTTTTCTGACCTAGGAGTTATCCAAGTCCTCCATGGACTTTCTGGATGTTACCTTTTTCAAGGGGGAACGCATCAACAATACCGGAATTTTGGATGTGAAGCTGTTCCAGAAACCGATGAATCGGTACTTATACCTCCCTTTCACGGTTTACCACACCCGCGCCACTAAGAAGGGTTTCATCCGCATCGATCTTTATCACTTTCTACTGCGTTCATCTTCTCGCACTGACTTTCTCAACTCTAGTGCCCTCGTCTTTGCTCGGCTCCGAGCCCAAGGTTACCTGAAGATATTTCTTCTCCCAATCTTCAAGTCAGTTTTGTTCGTCTCTAGTAGGGGACTTCTCAACCGCGCCTCTTCCATTCGCAATTCTCCTAAACATGGCCCCCTCGTGCTGAAATCGGTTCTCAACCTGATGGTTGACCGTTCGGGAATTGGGAAACTTTTGAGTCGACTCAAAAGTCACCTCGTTACAATGGCACGCGACACATTTTCTACAAGGAGAGCTATAATCGCATGGAGGCTACCGAAGAGAGTTGGGAGTTATTTGATTTCTGCTCATATGTGTTAGTATACAGTAGTATTAGATGCTATTACACTTATGCTCTCATTTGTTTTTTGCCTGTTGTCCCCGAACTCGCCACAGCGAAGATTACTCGCGCGGGTTAGATTCTAGGTTGAAATTCTCTAGGCATATAATTAGTACTCGTTCATTAGGACAACCACCGTATCTTTTACACAAGAGTCTTTTACAAAGCACTACTAACAAACACATGTGTTGAAACCTAAGAGTTGCTACCACGTATCAACCTAATGGCATCTAACTGGTGTTCACTCGGTTTCTCACTTGGCCAGGGTGAGAGTAACTTTGGCACGGACTGGCCGGGAATGTTGCGTCCATGTGGCCGAGTTCAATCAGAATAATCCTCACTTAGTCCCACCATCCCACTAAACCACATCTTCCCCTGCGCCCTTGCTCCCTTGCTCCCTTCTTTTCTGCTCTTTCCTCCCCTGCATACCAGGTGGCAAGGGGTGGGTGGTGGTGTGGGAAACAGCGGCATGGCGGAGGGTGACAGTGGGGAAGATCTATAACGACCCCATCTCTTCCTTTGCCCTCAACCCCGACTCTACACTTCTCGCCACGTAGGTTACTGGCTTGCAATGTACACTTCTTACATGCCACGTACAGCAAGGGGTGAGGAAGATCACACGTCACCCTATAAGCTACTAGGCGGCAAGCAAGCTGGTGGCAGTGAGGAAGATCCATAGCGACCTCAACTTTGCCGCCGCTCTCAGCCCTGACTCCACGCTTCTTGCCACATAGGTTGCTTACCTGCCATGTATGGCAAGGGGTGAGGAAGATCCCATCTCACCCCAAAACCTGCCAGGCGGCAAGGTGGCAATGGATGAGCAGTGAGCAATATTCACAACGACCCCATATCCGCCTTTGCTTTTCAGCCCTGACTCCACTCTGCTCACCACAAAGGCCGCTTGCTTGCCACGTAGGCTGCTTGCTTGCCACGTAGAGCGCTTGCTTGCCACGTAGGCTGCTGGCTGCTTGCTTGCCATGTAGGTTGCTTGCTTGCCACGTAGGCTGCTATTGGAATTCTTCGATGTCCTTGTTACCTTGGATCCTACCACCTCTTTGCTCCATCCCTTTCCTCCTGTTTTCGCACTCCTGCACCCTCCCATGCTGCACAATCCCCTCCTGTGTCCTCCCCTCATTCGTCAATCCCCGTTCGACCAATTACCTATGCTATCCAGCCGGACCGTCAGTCGCCCTCTCAAGTACCATATTCCCAGCTTGTTTATGCCATGTGCTCCTCTTGTTTTCTTTTGTGCTGTGTGTTGTGTGGTGCTCTTTGTCGCTGTGCACATGCCTTCCATCCTATCCATGCTGTCTATGCGGCAGAGAGTGGTGGGGGCACACATGGTCTTCCTGCTCCCTCTCTCATCTCCCCCTCTGTGCTGTTGTGTGCCACCTATCCATACGAGAACGCCAAAGGGCAATGTGTTTATGATGGATGTGCGCACAGTAAGTGTGCGGCAGAGAATCTTGGGTGCGCACCTCGTCTTTGTCACCGCACTCGACTTCTCACCCAACTCCAGATGCATTGGGGCACCTTTGGACACCTCCTGTTGTTTGTCACTTAGCCTATCACCTATTAACCCTAATAAACCACCAAGAAACGCGACAATCGGCTTTCTTTGAGCGAAGGAAAAATGACCAGATGTCCACACATTGCATGTTGTCCCACCTTAGAAACGCCCTTACGAGCCAATTGTGAGTCAAGACACGACTTTCGCCCAAATCTAGGTCTCTCCCTCCCATCCCATTCCCTACCATCCCATTCCCTCCCACACCTTCCCTCCTACGGCAACTGTCTGCATCATTCCCAACAGTCCTGTCTTTGTTACCCCTTTCCACCAATCTCAACCCCCAAATACTGCCACGTCTGTGCGTACAGGAATATACCTCTCACACCACCCATCACCCTCCCCTGCCTCCTCCCACACCCCACACCCCTACGCCCCCATGCCCTGCGCCCCAACATCCTCCCCCGTTCCCCCTAGGGCGTTGCTGTCATTGTCGGGTGACTCCAGAGCTAGGTGGGCGTTCCCACCAATAGTTGGTCGCTGAGAAACTTCAACAACCAACATCCCCTCCTTCGCCCCCCTCAGAGAGTTGTTGTCAATGTCTTGTGACTCGAGTGTGCAAGTCACGACCGAGCTGCCATGCTCGCCCCATGCCCCAGCACCCCATGCCCCCACGCCCCCACACCTCCCCCACGCCCCCACACCTCCTCCCCCCCCCTCCACCCCCCCACATAAGGGCGCTGCTGTCAGTGTCTGGTGACTCCAGTGCTTGTGAGCTGGTTCCTCTAGCACGTCTCCCCTCCTTCCCCTCCTTCAGGTCTCTCTGACTTGTATGTCCCTCCTTCCCCTTTTCCTCCGCCCCCTCAAAGCGTTGCTCTCAGTGTCTGGTGACTCCAGTACGCGCATCATGGCTGTCGCTGCCAAGCCCGAGATTTGAGTAAACTCTACCCCCCCAATCCCTCCCTCCACACGCCCCCCACCCCCCCCCCCCCCCCTCCCCCCTCCCCCCTCCTCAGAGCGTTGCTGTCAGTCTCGAGTGACTCCAATGCGCGCATCACAGCCGTAGCTGCCAAGCCTGCCGGCCAAGGTCGGGCTCGATGCTTGGGATGCTCGGTTTGGTGCTGGGGTGTTGTGAGGTGGGGTGTTGCAAGAGTTGAGGCCTCACAAATAGCGACTTATGGGCATGTCGCTTTGCGCACCGCATTTTAGTGCAGAAAATGCCATCGACATGCAACCCTCTCTCCAAACCTCTTCACCTCATCTATTTTCCTCATGCTCTCCTAACCCCTTCACATCTCTCCCAAGCTCTCCTCATTCCTCAATCCCCCTTAATTCTCCCCATTCGTCCTCCCCTTCGCCTTCCCATCCCCCACCAGGCTGGGTAACGTTCCTCATTCTCATAGCCCTTTTCCTCCTCGTCCTCGCTCTCCTCCTCTCCACCTCTTACTTCCTTCTCCTCCTCGGTCCAGACCTTGCCGCCCAAGTGCAACTGTTCATCGACCGCCTAATTGGGCCAATCCTTGCCGCCCAACTGCAAGCCACCGCCAGCCGGTTCCTCGGTCCGGACGTTACCGCCCACCTGCGAGCGCTCTTGCTGTGCCTTCAAGGAATCTTGGTGCCACAGCGACAGGTATCAATGGGAGTTGTTGTTGGCCCCGTCCTCGCTTGGGCGGAGCCGACCTCGGGGTCGGGAATGAGGAGTGCAGCCAACCTGCAATAGTGGGCGAGCTGGTCGACGGTCCTGGTCGACCTGCACAAGGGCCACTGCAAGGGCGCTGACTTTGGGAGGGCGCCAACTTCGGCTGGTCGACTTGAGAGGTCGACCAGTGGAGGGCGTCGACTTGGGTGACGCCGACCAGGGGAAGCCGACTGGGTGTGGTCGGCTGACAGGTGTACAGGTCGACCTGGAGCTGGTCGACCAGGTGGGTTGTCGACCTGGAGTTGGTCAACCAGGAGAGTAGTCGACCTGGTGAGGTCGACATGTGGTGGTTGTCGACCTGGGCGGTCGACGGGCCTGGGATGACACACCTGGTCGACATGGTTGCCTGGTTGACTAGGTTACCTGGACGACGAGGTCTGCGAGATTCGTGACTGTCGCCCAGGTAGATTGGTAATGTCGACCTGCGGTTCGGTGACACGTGGTCAACAGGACTACTCAGGTGCAACCATCGACATGTGGTCAACTTGGCACCTGCGCAATGTGCATGGCGGTGCATGTCGTCACCGTCACTTTGCACCTGCGAAATAGGTGCGCGCACATGAGCACGTGTGGTGACCTGTGGTGGCCTGTTGTTGGTGTGCTGGCATGCCAGCCTTGCAGGTCGACTGAAGATGCCTGAGGACGCCTGAGGTTGACCAGCTGGCAAATCGCCTTCGTGCTGAGCTGGTGGTCGACTTGTATGCTAGGCTTCTTATGTAGTCTACCTTGCCAATCTAGTTGCTACCCATTGTTCTCAACTTCTGATAGTGAAACTCTTGCGGTTTTCCCCCATGAATGCACAAGTGCTAGAGAACGACTAAGGGAACGAACGCAGAGATCCCTCCTACCCTGTGCCTAGCCCGTAGTCGCTCCCGTTGATAGAGTTATCTCCGCAACAGGGGTGATGGGAGTGATGGGCATGAGAGGCGAGGGGGAGGAGAAAGAGGTAGTAAGACGTTGGTGCTTTGGAAGAGTGAGGGGATGTAGTATAGTCAGGAGTGGTGCAGATGATAGCGGTGCTAGGGAGGGGGGTGCTACGGAGAGGGATGCAAGGAGGTGGGTGCATGCAGGTAGGGAGTTCGATATGAAGGAGCAGAAGATAAGAAAGGCAGGAGAGTAGGAGAGCAGAAGTGCAGAAGGGCTGAAGAGAAGGAGAGCAGACGAGCAGAAGGGCTGGAGACAGGGCTCTAGTTATCAGACCAAATCGGTCTGATGGTCTGAAAATCAGACCTACTTTTTTTCGTTTCATTTGATTTTCTAGACCAGCAATTAAAGTTCATCTGAACCATAAGACAAAGGATTTTAGTTCGTCTAAAAAATAAGACAACACGTTATATTCTGTCTGATACCATCGAGTATGCTTTCATCTGATACCGACAAAGTATCGAGGTACCCCCCGCCCCTTCTCCTCAACCCTCCCCCCCCCTTTCTTTTCCCCTCCCAGCTCCTTCCCCCCAGCCCCCTCGAGTCCCTCACCCCTCTCCCAAACCACCACCACCCCCCCCCCCCCCCCCGCAGTCTCTCGTTCCTCTACTGTACAGTACCAGTCCACCCCCTGCAGTCCCTCGCTCTTCTAGCAGTCCAACCTCCCCGCAGTCCCTCCCTCTTCTAGCAGTCCAGCCCCCCCGCAATAAACCTCGCTCCTCTACCAGTCATCAACCCCCCCCTTCCCCCCCCTCCCTCTCCCCAAATCCCTCGATCCTCTCCCATCCCCAGTCCATTCCCCTTGGTTGTCGCAAAAATTCAACAGAACACGGTCCTCGCGACGCAACCCAACTCTCCCTCTGTACTAGTCCCCCTCGCCACCCGGCTGGTCATGCCTCTCTGTTATAACGTGAGAATGAATGATTAACAATAAACAAAACAAGAAAGATATATGCAAGGCTAACCCCAACCCTAGCACATTGGAATACACCTAGACTATAACTAACATAACTATAGAAATATAGTTTGACACACCCCCATAGTCTAGGTGACGGTAATCTTGTGTAGAGCAACACACAACCCAAGAGCAAGGGTCACGGGACCTGTCAACAAGAACAAGCAACGGTCACAAGACCTGTTCACAAGAACAAAACAACTCTCGGGGTGGATCTCAAGATCACCACACTGTTCGAGAGCAAGCAAGGGGCCATAAGGCCAGTCCACATATAAGTATATAGCAGATATAAGAGATGCAAGAGTACAAGACATGCATGACAAGCATCTCTACAGAAGCAAGGAGCCACAAGACCTGTCCACCAGCACAGATATAGAATATCTAGTGAGATGCAAGAGTACAAGACAATGCATCTCTACGCAAGCAAGTGAGGGCGTGTAGACACAAGGCCAAGATGGGTGCAGAAACGCTGGTGGTCACAAGGCGGCAACTGTTATAGTCACAATAGGCTTGAATGTGCCTAAAACGAAAGATAGCGTTCTGGTCACAGGTCCAAATGACCTGATTCAAATTGCATCTGGAGCGTCGTAACGTCCCCTACACTAGAAAATTTAGATTGCACGATTTCATTAAGTATTGAAGACGCAACGCTGGTTTGAACGAACGGCACTATGGCAGCCACTATAGACTTAGAACACAAATTAGGAAGAGTTACGAGTTGGGAATGACTCCCAGCTCCTACCAACCTCAAGAGCCGAGGTACAGTGATGTGGAACAGTGCCACACTGTCCCCAACCACGAAGGGTCTCGAAAATACCCTCCAAAAGGGCCTACATCAAGAGAAATTTTACACTACACAAAGTAATGTAACTATTCTCACTATACTGAAGCTTACCCTTATGGAGTGCTTCGAAATCACTTGAATCTTGAAACCAAGGCTCTGGTTCTTCAAGATAAATTCTTCCTTGAGTTCTTGGAAGTCTGCTGCGCACACCTGCGACACGCCGAACGTTCCACACACGACAAAATAGAAAACCGCACACGACACGCAAACGACGACGTGACACGCGACTAGCAATAACTCGCTATTGACTCAACACACACATTCAAAAATCATGCCTCATCATTCACACACTATTGTAAGCATGAAATGTATATTATCTCATGCTCTCATACCATTCCATGCACACACGAATGCACGCACACGGACAACAAGCGGAGTGCAAACCGTAAAATTGCACCAACAAAATCCCCCTCGGATTGTTGGCCTTAGGATCTGGTTCTCTCAGTTCAGAGCCATCCCAGCCAGCTTGCAACACTTCCAATGCTGCTGCTCAACCAGCCTCTTGGTCATCATGTCAGCTGGCTGCCCCGTCGTCCTCACATAGTGCAACTCAACTTCACCCGCGGCCACCATGCTCCTCGTCCAATGCCATTCCACCCTCATGTGTTTCGTGAGGCCATGCAACACAGGGTTCTTAGCAAGAGCAATGGCACCCTGGCTGTCACAGTAGAGTGGGGTAGGTCCTTGCTGCTCCTCCCCCAATTCAGCCAACAAACGCCGATGGCATACAATCTCCCGTACAGCATGGAAGAGTGCCATGTACTCGGACTCCACCGAGCTCAATGCTTGATCCACCTGCTTCTTGCTCTCCCAAGCAATTGGGCCTCCACCAACACAGCAAATGAACCCTCCAACACTTGTCATGTCATCTGGTTCCGATGCATAAGAAGCATCCGAGAATGCAGTGAGGAACAAACGCCCGGGTTCAACACCATCCGCGCCCTTTTGGCGCCTTTGTGCCGCCGCCGAGTATTGCAGCCCAACGGTCGGTGTTTGGCCAAGATACTTGGCCACCCTCATTCCAGCTGCTACCTGCTCCTCATTAGGGCATTGCACAACCCTAGCCAGCTGCCCGGTAGCAAACGCGACGTCCGGTCGGGTGTTTACCGCCGCGTACATGAGGCTGCCCACCAACGAGTGAAAACGGCGCATCTCCTCTTCAACAACGCTCTCCTCCTCTGGTCCCTTCACACACTTGAACCCAGAGGGAAAGGGTGTAGCCACATGGCATTCACTCTGCCCAAAGTTGGCAGCCAATGCCTCCAGGTACTTCCGTTGATGCACCCGCATGCACCGCTTCTCCACATCTCGTTCGATGTGGAGCCCGAGGTAGAAGCTCACATCACCAAGGGCCTTGCGCTTGAACTTGTTTTGAAGCTTCAGCATCACCTCCTTCACAAGGTCAGAGGAGGGTGAGAAAATGAGGATGTCATCCACATAAACCACCATGAAACTCCTCTGCTCCCCCTTGCCAAGCATGAACAAGGAATGATCGGCGGATGAGGGAGTGAACCCGATCTCCTCCAAGACTTCACACAGCTTCAAGTACCACTGCCTAGGGGCTAGCTTGAGCCGATAGAGCGCCTTCTTCAGTTTCCACACTCTGCCACTACCATCATCAAACCCCTCTGGCTGCGCCTTGAAAATCTCTTCCTCTAGGACGCCGTTGAGGAATGTCGTTGTCAAATCCATTTGTTTCACCACCCATCCTTTGATGGTAGCTCCCGCGAGTAGGGTTTGCAGCGTCGTTGGCTTCACCACTGGAGAAAACAACTCCTTATAGTCCACCTTCTCCTTCTGCTGGTACCCCTTGGCCACAAGCCTAGACTTGTAGCACTCGATTTTGCCGTTGGCGTCGGACTTGATCTTGAAGAGCCACTTGGACGTAATCGCCTTACGCCCCTCCGGTAGCTCCACCAATTCCCATGTGCCGTTCTCCTCAATGCTCTTCAGCTCACTCTCC